AATGATCAGCATTTGTTCTCTCTTTCAAATAAACCCAACATCAAATAAATCCCTCGCACGTTGGTTTACTTTTGTCTTTATTTTATTGTTAACAGAAATGTACGTAATGATATATCACTATATTAAGTTCTATCCTGTTACCTTTTTGTCTATCCTGTTACCGATAGCAGTATTGCACCTGCAAATGCTAAATTGCGAAGATTAAGACGTTATAACCTTTAGATGAGTTCAAACAACGAAACATTTCATTATGTGTGCAACTATATCTTATTATAAACTTTTTAATTATGTCTACTATTGTCTATCCTGTTACTGTAACCATAGCAACCATAGTAACAGGATAGACATAACAGGATAGACAAATGTCTTCATTTTTGAATGCTGTTGTGAAATAACTACTTCCCTTTGATGTAGTGATAATGTTTTTCTGTTGTGATTTTGATTTCCAACACGTTATTGCACTTTTTGCAAGTATAATATTGGTGTAATTAATCAATATGTTGGTAAAGCATAGACATGACAAAAGAGTACCCACTATTTTTTTTCACTAAATGTCTTGAAATTTCTTTTCTCTACACTATTATACAAAAAACGTGCTGTGTTAAATGTTTAGGTTACTTTGCGCTTTTGAAATCAACACCGACTAGTTCAATATTCATAGGGAGAAAAATTTAACGGCTGATTTAAGTAGCGGTAACAGGATGGACATGAACTTCATGTACGCTGATTGAATTTAGTTTGTAGAAAAAATGTTACATATAATAATAAAGAAGCTACGATTTTTCGTTAGGGTTATTATTTACGTTCTAAAAAAGTCCCTTTTGCAGATATCAAGGCGATCAGAAAATAGAAAAAAAAAATCATTTGAAATGTGTTACTCGGACACTGTACGCACATAAATTACGCAAAAATCGGACTTAAATATATTTTAATCTTATCAAAATAGATCTAAATCGTGTTTATTATTAATGTTCTAACTCATAAATCCTACAAACTTTCATTTAAATACTTACAACTGCATTTTCCATTAGAAATAAATTTTTTAGCACGGGTGTACTGAAAATTCGACATTTTTTTAAAATGACTCATTTACTCCAGGGCGAATACACTATTTACTGGATAGGGGTGTTCTCTAAATGTTCCCGATACCGAACACAAAAATACCTCTCAAACACCCACATACCCTTGGACCCAACCACTGACTTTCCCACCAAACGTCTAAATCAGCATAGGTTTCTGACACAGAATGAATGTGTAAAAGAACTGAAAAATTTGACACAGCATAGGTTTCTGACACAGAATGAATGTGTAAAAGAATTGAAAAATTTGACACAGCATAGGTTTCTGACACAGAATGAATGTGTAAAAGAATTGAAAAATTTGACACAGCATAGGTTTCTGACACAGAATGAATGTGTAAAAGAACTGAAAAAAATTGGTTTACCTATTTTTCTTCAATACTCAAAATCTAAATATATGAAAAATAATCACAAGTTAATATATCTGAATCAGCAGAATTCTCCGTAATATTTAAAAATAAGATGACAGCTTCTTATTTGCATACCACTTCAAAGAGAAGACATAAATTATAAGCTAAAACATTTTAAGGGAAGTAACTTCTAATAAAAAATCCCTGCCATTCAATTTTTGTTGAAATCATACAAAGTTTAATTTTGGATCCTTTGGACCCTGAGGTGGACCAATCTGAAAAATGGGCCCAAAATCAAAAATCTAAATACATTATTTGATTCAGCATATTGAAATCAATTAAATTTTATTTTGCACTCTTATTAGTACCCACTCGAAAACACGACCCAAAATCAAAATTCTAAATACATGGTAAGATTACAAGCATATAAAAAAAAACAATACTTCAAGATTATTTAAACCCCATTGAAATTGGTCAGAAATAAGCAATTCAATCAAAGTTTAAAAAAATGCTTGTTTGTTTCCCCCTTTTTGGTCCCTAATTCCTAAGCGGATACGGCCATAACCCCAAATTCAATCCAACCTTCCTTTTTGTGGTATGGAACCTTGTGGTACAGTTTCATACTAATTCATACACGTTTACTCAATATGAAAATAAGGAGATTAGGTATGATTGCCAATGAGACAACTATATCCACCTAAGTTCAAATAAAGTGGATGGAAGCAATTATAGGCAATCGTACGGCCTTCAACAATGGGAAACACCCATACCGTATAGTCGGCTATAAAAGGCCCCTTCATAAAAAATATGAAACAATTCAACTGAGAAAACTAACGGTCTAATGTATAACAAAACAATTAACGAAAAACAAATATGACATTCAAGTTATTGTCCGGAAGCCAGAATATTGTCCGGAAACCAGAATAATGTCCGGAAACAATAATAATGTTTGCTTCTTGTCCCTTTGACCCAATATTCTAAACAGTAAGGGCCATAACTCCAAAATCAATCCAAACCTTCCTTTTGTGGTATGGAACCTTGTAGTACAATTTCATAGTGATTCATGCTGTATAACACAAATAAACAATAAGCAATACAAGCATGTAACATTGATACACAAAAAAAAAAAAGTAATCTACGTTGCTTTCTTTAAATGAGTTACAACATACCTCCTCTCAAATTATTTATAGTTTTTGAATTATTAGAACAGTGATAAAAAGTTGAAACTTACTAAAAAAACGTACTTGTCTCATTCCAATTTGATTTGCCATGTCAAATGTTTATGCACTTCTGGGCCCTTAATTGAAAAAAAATTTTCCTCCTTCTGCACTACTAATTCGTTTATGTTTAAATAAAATAAATATAATTTCGAAAGGATTGAAAATTTTTATTGTTATTGCAATTTGAGGAACCAAATATAACTAATGTTTTTCGCACCTTCTTATTTTTTAAATTGTCAATAGGTTGAAAGAATGACGTTTAGATATTTAAAATAATATTATATTAAATTAATTGCATGCATAATTCAGTTTAAAAAACTGAAAAAAAGTTTTAGATACAGCAAATGCAACAATATCTTCAAAAAAATATATATTAGCAGATCAGATAAATTCAGGTTGATTTATGGAGGGGGCAAATAGTTCGGGTCCCCTTATGGAGCTAAATATATAGTTAATGTATAGACTGTTTACAAATCTCATTCCTAATGTTGTCTTGTCTCACCTTTCAAATTCTGGACCCCCAGCTGTCCTTATAATGTACTTAGTACCAATGACAATAAAAAGAGACTAAAAGGCAGATATATAATAATTGTAATATTTTCTGTTTCAAACCGACAATACAGTTAAATTATAACCATCATCTTTTAAAAAATCGATTTGTTTATCAAAATTTTTCTTCTTCCGTGCTGACAGTGACCACAGACTGTATCATTACGTTATGTTTTTTAAATATTATAGACATAATTTTGAAAGGATTGAAAAACAATATTTCAAAATCAGAAACCAAATATAATCAGGGATTGAAAGGGGTAATTACAGAAAACGATATATATGTTTCAATCAAAGGTTACGCCCTCTACGACCCTCTGATTTATATTAATGAAAAAGAAATCTTTAAAAAAATGAATTACAATTTTTGTTTACATGTTTCTAACTAAATAAACCATTTGATTATTAAATTTTTAACATATATATGAAATCATGTTCCTTCAGAGGCGGATTTAATGGTGCTAAATATTTAGTGAATGCATAGACTTTTTACAAGTCCAACTCCTAACATTGTCTTGCCCTCCCCCACCCCCCTTTTTCAAATTCCTGACCCCTATCGGTCCTTTACCATAATCAATCAGCATTGAATGTTACCTTAGCAAAGAATATATCAAACATAAAGCAATTTAGTTATTTTCGTAACTATTCTGTTCCAATGATAAGAAAAAGAAGGACAACATGGCAGATATATAATAATTATAATATTTTCGTTTTCAAACCCACAATACAGATAAGAAAAAGAAGGATAAAATGGCAGATATATAATAATTATAATATTTTCGTTTTCAAACCCACACTACAGTCGAATATGTGACCATAAACTTTTAAAAAATCGATTTGTTTATCAATCTTTATATAACCATATATTTTTGACCTCGGCAATATCATTATTATTTTCAACAAAATATATGTATAATTAGATTATAAGTAAAAAGAAATGTCCTTCGTAAACGAATCAGTTTCACCTGAGAAAAATGCCAATATTAACGTGTCTGTGTGCCGTCTGAGTTATCACAAACGAACAAGGAAAAACACGGGTTCACTCAGAGGTTTCTGTGACGCGCTGCATAATGACCGAGCATGCCAAGTGCATATTACCCTATATTTGACCGCGAAAACGACGCGGCTAGCGTGCAGTGAATGCCGGGATAGTCTGCTGAGAGAGGAGGGCAATGAATACCAGATGCTCCTCGCATCAGCTGGCCGGTTATTACTATTGCCCTTTGGTCAAGGTCGCCAGCTTAGAAATATGACCATGGATTTTTTATGACGTGAATCGGAGTGCGTTGATGGAAATCAGTACTTAAATTTTGTTATGCAAATCGGCTTAGAAATGTTTCAGTTTTCCGATATGTTGAAAAAAATAATGATAATTAGTAAATGACCACTCCAAGGAATTACCGGTTTTTAGTCATTATCAGTTTTTATTCAGGCGAATGCATTTTAATTTCAATATTTGATATCGTGGTACATAAATTAATTCGACCTACATCTTTTAGATAGAAAGGAAAATACCGGTATAAATTAACTGTGTATATTTCTTCAGATACACATTAACAAGTATTCATCGTGTATTGACCAATGGTCAAGAGTGCAGACTGCCCACACAGATCATGGAAATAATCACTACTAGGTCAGTGGTGTAAATTATTAGACATTTTAAAAGATATACATTCGAATACCGGTTATATAAGATCATCACGTGTATTTTGCTTGACGTAGACGGACATCAAATTGTTTCCCGCCTGAAAATAAGCAGACGATACAGGTAAGATTTAAATTAAATCACCAATACACATTATTGCTTGGTCAGCACTGACCACTAGGTCAAATGATTAAGTAGATGGTTCTTGTATCCAAGGCTAGCTCTACGATAAAGGTAAATGATGTTTGTCTGTTTTATTTATTTTGTATGTTTTTTCTTTCAAATAACTGTTCATTCTACATGTACGTAATTAGTGAATGATCACGCCTGATTAAGGTCGGAAGATCAACAGAGTAGCTAAATTATCCATAATTAAATAATTCATGGAGAGATCGCTTTTCAGGATAAAACAAGGACTCGGTAACTTTTGTTACGGAATACGGAATGAACTTATTCAATGGGCGCTCTCCAAAGGCACTTGTTTCATGACGGTAAAGGGGCCCCTTATTCTCTTTTTCGTAAATAGTAGATGAAGCAAACCCTCATATGCTATCAAGAGAATTTCCATGAAAGTACCCCTTTATGCGCCCATGTGAAAATTTCTCGACCTTTATGTGCCGGTTTTGTAATTTTTGATGATGAACAGTTTATTTGCTAATAAATTCCTTGTCATGAGGGTCTTTGCAGCCTTCGCTCTCATGGCTTAGCTATGGTGCCGGCACGACTAAATAATCAGTGGCGGATCCAGAAATTTTCATAAGGGGGGGGGGGGGGGGAGCCCACTGACTGCCTAAGAGGGGGCCCGCCCCAGTCATGCTTCAGTGATTCCCTATGTAATCAACCAAATTTTTCCCACAAAAGGGGGGTCCGGGCCCTCTGAAAAATCCTCTTAATCCACCTCTGATAATGTAGGTGCCGGCACGGCTTATTATTTTGGGTGATCAATGCCTGAAAAAGTGTGTACACATATGAATCCCAACAGATTTTGTTTTGTTTGTCAATCACCCGCCCCCTTTTAGAGACGGATTATGGGAGGGGGCAAGGGACCTGCGCCCACTCATGGCACTACATATTTGATAAGTATAATACTTTTTACAAGTATCACTCCAAACGTTGACATGCCAGAAGTACGCCCTTTTCAAAATCCTGGATCCGCACCTGCCTATTCCCATGGATTTGAAATTTTGAACAGAATTGCATTAGAATTAAATGTAGAAACAATTTCAGAGCTGAGATTAATGTTTTTTTTTTATTTTTTTATTTTGTTTACCTACATTGGTTTTCAATTAACATATTAATTATATGTTTCTGAAGAAAATCTATTGTTGTCAAGGTGTGGTTTGAATTTTTTATTTTTCAGAGTTTGTAACACGTTACTTTTAAAGATTTTACTGTTTGAATGCCCTCGTTCTATATTTATACAATTTAAAAAAGAAATGATGAAGGATTGATGTTGAACTTCTTTATTTTAATATTTGTGTAATGTAATTGGACCATGTCTCGGTTGTGATCTTTCCAATAAAATATTGAATTGCATCAAATTAAATTGTCAAAAAAATGCATGCTTGCTTCTTACTTCTTCTTAAAAAACGATAGGAAAGGTATGTAGTTCACATGGATGCTTAAGCACCTATTTAACGAAAATTGATTGACTTTAGCGCTGCTTATCCAAAATTGGCTGGACGTAGGCACTGCTTAACGAGAATTAGCTGGACTTTATGCTTAACGAAAATTGGCATGATTTTAATGGTGCTCAAAATAATACCCAGTCTTCACGATAAAATTTTTAAATCTACAGGCCCGGAGCTCAATTTTTGGAAAATTTTATTAAGATTGTGTTGGCTTGTAGAGATGATTTTTACAGGCCCGAAAGCAATTTTACAAGCCTGTGCGGCTGGGTCTCTGGGTAAGCGTGAAGACTGAATACCTTCAATATGATTTAAGGTATAGGCAGGAACATATGGGGATAGGTAAGGAGGCAGAAAACATCTATGAACATTTTTTTGTTTTGGTAATATAGGGGAAACAAATCAACTTAGATAAAACATTTAACCCTTAATATGACAGTCAAATCAAATTAATTCTTTCCATAATCAGTCATTTCAGACGAGATCTAACCCGAATAATTCAGTCGTTATATTCCGCTGATCTACGATTACCCTATTAACTCGCAAGTAGGAGAGATCGATTACGGGGGGGGGGGGGGGGAGACTGAATTATTTGTGTTAGACGAGATCGGGAAACCTACATTTTCAATATTGATAATCATATATTTTCAGTAACATCATAATTATGTTAGTTATATATTTTTTTTTATTGTCCGTAATTGATTTCTGGTGGTCAAGCCTTATATCAAGTTTAAAATAGCAATAAAATATTGAATTTAAAATTTTGAATTTAAATATATGTATATCAACAGTTCATATCTTCTCATGACTATAATTTGTTTTGAAATTTTATTTGAGTTATTTTGTTTTATAATATTTTATCTTCATTATTGGAGAGGACATTTAAGACTGTTTAGAAGGAAGGAGGTGACAGTATAATATTTTATCTTCATTATTGGAGAGAGCATTTAAGACTGTTTAGAAGGAAGGAGGTGACAGTATAATATTTTATCTTCATTGTTGGAGAGGACATTTAAGACTGTTTAGAAGGAAGGAGGTGACAGTATAATATTTTATCTTCATTATTGGAGAGGGCATTTAAGACTGTTCAGAAGGAAGGAGGTGACAGTATAATATTTTATCTTCATTGTTGGAGAGGACATTTAAGACTGTTTAGAAGGAAGGAGGTGACAGTATAATATTGTATCTTCATTATTGGAGAGGGCATTTAAGACTGTTTAGAAGGAAGGAGGTGACAGTATAATATTTTATCTTCATTGTTGGAGAGGGCATTTAAGACTGTTTAGAAAGAAGGAGGTGACAGTATAATATTTTATCTTCATTGTTGGAGAGGACATTTAAGACTGTTTAGAAGGAAGGAGGTGACAGTATAATATTTTATCTTCATTGTTGGAGAGGACATTTAAGACTGTTTAGAAGGAAGGAGGTGCATGACAGTATAATATTTTATCTTCATTGTTGGAGAGGACATTTAAGACTGTTTAGAAGGAAGGAGGTGACAGTATAATATTTTATCTTCATTGTTGGAGAGGGCATTTAAGACTGTTTAGAAGGAAGGAGGTGACATTATAATATTTTATCTTCATTGTTGGAGAGGGCATTTAAGACTGTTTAGAAGGAAGGAGGTGACAGTATAATATTTTATCTTCATTGTTGGAGAGGGCATTTAAGACTGTTTAGAAGGAAGGAGGTGACAGTATAATATTTTATCTTCATTGTTGGAGAGGACATTTAAGACTGTTTAGAAGGAAGGAGGTGACAGTATAATATTTTATCTTCATTGTTGGAGAGGACATTTAAGACTGTTTAGAAGGAAGGAGGTGACAGTATAATATTTTATCTTCATTATTGGAGAGGGCATTTAAGACTGTTTAGAAGGAAGGAGGTGACAGTATAATATTTTATGTATAAAGTAATGGATATATTTTAAAAATTTTGTTTGTGTACTTGTATGCATGAATTCCGAATGAATCCGATGCTCTATTTCCTTTCTACTTCATTGAAATTTCGTCTAATATAGTTATTTATTCTCAGACTTTACATGAGACCAAAGTAAACATAGTTATGTTTAGGGTTTCCCTGCCGATCACACATAGTTGTGTTTAAGGTTTCCCTGCCGACCACACATAGTTGTGTTTAGGGTTTCCCTGCCTACCACACATAGTTGTGTTTAGGGTTTCCCTGCCTACCACACATAGTTGTGTTTAGGGTTTCCCTGCCGACCACACATAGTTGTGTTTAGGGTTTCCCTGCCTACCACACATAGTTGTGTTTAGGGTTTCCCTGCCTACCACACATAGTTGTGTTTAGGGTTTCCCTGCCTACCACACATAGTTGTGTTTAGGGTTTCCCTGCCTACCACACATAGTTGTGTTTAGGGTTTCCCTGCCTACCACACATAGTTGTGTTTAGGGTTTCCCTGCCTACCACATTTTTATTTGTCAAAATGCCTACCCTGGAGTTTTTATCGCACTTTTGGTAGCGATTTGTAAAAAACGGTTGTCCCCATATACATTGATGATATATTCAATGTGAAAAAAATATGCATATATATACCTACCATATTTTTCTAAAAAAGGAAACATTAAAACAAACATTTATATTGTTTGGCCTGAGTAACATGATAGGTATTGATTGATTATCCTACACCCGAGTTCAGCCCGGTTTTCGATGAGGTTCGTGTTGCTCTGAAAGGTACAATACTTGGTATCGATGACTACGTAATATGTTTTATTTATAAACTTGTGTGTACTTGTTGCTTCGTGTACAGTGGCCAATATCACATGTATCATGCATATACTAGTATTTAATAAAATACATGTGTACCATTTTATTCCTTAATACGCATTTACATCCAAATAGATTGGCGGCAGAGGTAACATAAAAATGTTAATAAATAAGTTATTAACAATGAAACTAAGGTGCCTCGGAAGGGTTTGCAGTTTCTGTTTCTGAATGAATTGATCATGCTTCCATGTTTCGATTACAATGGACGAAGCGATCACTGATATAGGAGGTATTTTTCAGCATAAAAACACCTGTGTTTCCACTTATATTCTTCCTATCCTAATATTTAGTACCTTTCCTAAATTTTGTAATGCCTTTTTTGAACAAGCACTCTTAAAATCTTACTGCTCCTCCTGTTTAAACCATGCAGATACAAACTTTTTCGTTAAATTATTTGCCTACCGACTGACCTTTATTTCCAGCATGTTATCCGAAACACAGGTACAACTTTTTATGCCTAATGTATGAAGAATCATATAACTGTGGTTTTTTTCTACTTGGCATAATATAGCCCCTACTTGTTGACAACTTTGAATCACATTTATTGACCTCATAACCCATATTACTATAAATTATTATCACTTTAGAATCAAACGATTACAAGTCAAGATATCGATGTTGATAATTAAATATTCCCTAGTAGGCTACTGATCTACACTCTTGGTGGTGGGGGTAAAGGGCAGGACATTACGTATGAACACTTTTCTAATGTTGAAGACTGTTAGAAATGTAAAGGCAGGCAGTAGGGGCAGTAATTCTGCCTTGCCAGTGGTCACCAACGAACGAACCCCTCAGAGATTTATGTCAAAGGTTCTTTAA